AAGCCCAGGAAGCCAGCCCTTTCCCTCCCCCCTACCATTCCCTACCCTCCCCATTTTTTTTTTTTTTAGACCATGCTCCGACTGTTACACTGTTCTCACTGCTGGGAATGACACTGCCTCCAGAGGATCCCAGGCTCAGCTCCTTGGGAAGCTTCAGCACGCCAGCTCTGAGAATCAGCATCCCCTAGGTAAAGGACTTTCTGTTTGGGATTACAGCAGGCAGGCAGCACTAGGGAAGGGATGAATGTGGCAAACCCAGACGGTGGAGATCTGCAGCATCACTGATCTGCTTGCTGGAGGAGGGCTCAGCTGGAAAGAGAAAACAGGAGGCCCCTGGTGAGCTGGGGAAAGGAGGAAAGGATGGCACTGAACAGGCATCATGTTAAAAGATGGCGTGTGAATTGGCTGAGGTCCCTTCCTAACCTGAAAATGAGTCCTAATTGGTTCAGACAAGCGTCAAAGAAGGCTCTGGTAGGTCCAGCTGTAGTTCACCTATTGATAATAGACCAGCAGGTTGGTGCATGTCTGTAACTTAAATTTTGCCTGAAATCAGGTTGGTTCCTGGTTGCAGACTTTGATCTGCAGAGTTTTGGTGGCCTGGTTTTGGCAGGGAGCTCTGAGGGATGGGGAGGAAAGTAGGCATGATGCCCAGGCTGATGAAATGAGGATCAAAGTGATCCCTGCTTAGCAGGGCCCTGCCATGGGCACAAAACCTGCAGCCAGGAGACAGTGCGGTGTCTGCCATGAAGGATGCTCTGCAGAACGAGGCTGGGGATACATTAGAGAGGAACCTGCTTAAAACCAAACAGTTCGCACTACAGAGATTTTTCCAGGCAGGTGTCAGGTCACACGGAGCGAGGCAAATTTGCCTCCTAACAGCCCATTAGCCCCTGGGTTTGTCTGCCTTACTCTTGTCAGGACAAGTTGGCCTGCTCTGAGCTGTGCGCTACCCCATTCAACCTGCTAGAAAGAATCTCGGTTACACTGGGTGAGGAGCCTGCACGCCACTGAATTTCCATCTGTGTCTGCAGGCTCTCACTCAGCTTTTCCTTTTCCATCAACGCATCCCCAGATCTCTGGTGTTCCTGTTCTCAGAAAAGCTGTCTCCTTTTCAGTCAGCTCTTTGGAGGTGTGGATGCCAACTCAGGCAGTGATTTTTCTAGACAGCACTGTTCCTCAGTCTCACCACGCTTCCTTCATCCACAGGACCAAAACACTTCTGAGAGCAATATTTCTTGGGTCAAAAGAGCAAGTGCATTAGCACCCAGTCATTCGGGCTTAGCGTCTGTCTCCACATACGTCTCAGAAGGGCAAGCTATAACACTAAACAGAGAGGCACTGTATTTAGTCTAGCCAGTCTTCATCCTGCCAGCTTTATTAATAAAGGGTCTGTTTCTCTGGTCCTGCTGCTTTAATGCTTTACTTACCAGGTCTTGAGGAGGATGCAAATGTCATATTCCAGCACATCAGCCCTCTTTTGAAAGTCCCCTTAGTGCGTTGATTTTAGAATTGGACCCATTACAGGGCCCTTCTCTAACAAGCATCGCATGTCTATTTTGCAGTATAAACAAAGCCCTGCCTTGCTGACAAGTCTTAAGAGGTCAGCACCTGCAGGAATTGTAAGGCTCTGTTTGGCTTTACCCCCACAAAGGTTTGTTCTTCTGCTGTTCGTGCCCTGGCATGTCCTGGTCGATGTTTCTTGACTGTTCAAGTCAGTTTGTCTTCCTGGATCTCAAGTGCAAACAGTGGTGATTTGAACTGAAAGTCCCTTCAAATCTCAGTCTGCTTTGTTATGATTCTGTCCTTACTCTCACTACCAGACTTATGTGTTGGTTTAAATAAGAGGGCTCTTTTGAGAACAGGGAAGCATAAGAGGCCCTGTGTGGGAACATCATTCTCTCCTTTTTGTTCTCCTTGCTATTGGCACAAATTCAGACTGGGTAAAAGTGGATACAGCTCGGTTGGCTGCACTAGAATTTTCCTGCTTAGTGATTACATTTGGCTTGCTGTGCCCTTATTCTCATCTCTCCAAGGGCCTAACGTAAGCCAAGGCCAATGCTGAGCCTCCTCGTGACTCTCTTAGTGCATGCTTATATGTCATGGTGAATGAGGAGACGTTCAGTCAATGGAGTTACAGTGGGTTGTTAGCAGGGAATGTGGTAGCTTGTCCTTCCCATCATATGCTCTTTGAAATCTCTCACACATTGCTTAAATTAGGCTACAGTGCCTCATCTTTCTATCCCTAGCCTCCAGAGTGCATTGGACAGATGGCTTTGTCAAAGGTTTGGCAGGTCTTTTAGCACCCTACGGCAAAGAAAGTCCTCAGAAGAGGGACAGATTAATAGGGTTTATGTGGCCCCATCCTTTATCACCTGCAGCAAAATACTGCTCGCAGACACGTTGGCCGTTGGCTTTTTCTGGGCCTCTTCATGAGGTTGCCTCAGTTCAGGTCCTCTGGCCCCACTTTCACCCACAAAATCTTATTCTGGAGGTGGTCTCTCCAGGTGGAAGGAAGTGTCTGTGAGACATAGCTGCGCCCAGGCCAGCGGGACCCATGCAGAGTCTTCCTGTTGCTCAAAACCTTCCCCATGCACATAGTGCCAGTTGCAGCCAGGCCCCAGACATAGTGCTAGTGCCACAGGCTGTGGCATTGCCAGCCACACAGCACGCTAAAGAGAAGCGGGATCTCTCTTGCCAGTGCTCCCTGCTGCGCTCCAGCATTTCTTGGAGATACATTCCTCATATTCTTGGCCCTCCTATCCCACTGCACCTGGTGGACCCCCAGCTCCTCAAATACCAACCAGCCTAGGTGACAAGAAACCGTGACCCCAGCTCTATTTGGCAGTGTACGCATTGTGAGGGGTGGGCCTCCCCTTATTCAGCTGTCAGAGCAGCCAGTCTCTATGGTCCCAGATAGCCTGCATGTTCTTCTGAGGTTAGCTCTGCCATAAAGCCAAAGGGAGATTCTTACCACATTCTCAAAAAGCTGCCCCTCAGGGCTGACAGGAGAAGGGCTGAGAGCAGGCAAGACAGCACTGGCACATCGCAGAGCGGTGGCTTTGATGCGGGCTAACGGGACAGTGCTCGGGGCTGTCTGGCACCCACTGCAGCCCCTTTTTGGCTCCAGGCCTACCGTCCTCTGATTTTTCTAGGCAGATGAGAGGGACAGTGCAGCCAGCATGCACATGTTAGAAACAAACTGCCCCAGGCTCTCTAGGAAAGAGGACAACTGCCTGGAGGCGTCTGTTTTGCTCCAGATGCTATAGGAAGGGTATGAGCAGGGCTGTATCCTCCCCCCTTGATGTCCCTCCCCCTTCTTGAGTTTGAGAGGAATCCGGAAGGTGCCTTGCAAAGCACTGTATATTGGGAGTAGCAAAAGGCTTTCTAGCCTACTTTGCGCTCTCTAGGGTGGAGACTTTCCTGCTCTGTCTTAGGCTCAGGAGGGGAGCAGAGCTGGACAGGAGGGACAGAGGCTGCCTGATGGCCTGACAGAGAAGTGGTTGAGCTGAAAAGGACGGACTGAAGCTGGGGTTTTGCTTTCTCTCCTTATCCCTGCTTGCAACAGTAGGGCAGCTCGTCCAGCCAGACAAAGAAATTCGTGACTGACAGCTGGGCTCTCCCTTCCCACTCCCAGCATGGGAAGCAGCTGGCAGAATGGGTGTGCAGGTGTAGGCTTCCTAGTAATTGTTGGCAAGGGATCCTAGCACACTGGACACTAATTCTCCTTGTGGCTCAGGTTATCAGCACAGCTTCCTAAAGATGTCCTGTCCCATTCTGGGGCACAGCCTCATTGTGGTGAAGTGGTCTCATCTTCCCTAGCACACTGCCTCCTCCCCCCACACAGCCCCAGGCTGGGCAGCGCAGTCGGGCGTCTGCTCTTTCTGCAGACGCCTGTCTGCTCTCTGCCTTTTCTGTATCAGTGATGGCGATTCCTTTGGCAGCTCCTTTGGTGGCTCAGTCTGCTCCTCTCATGATAGCCTGATCCCTTGTCTGTAACCTGAATTCTCCCTGCTGTATGTTAATCGCGTTACTTCTCCTCCATTGACTAGTGAGCATAATTGGCTCTGCTCCTTTTCCCCATGGCCTTCCCAACAAAAGCAGGTGTTACCTTCCCTTTGCCAGTCCCAGAGTCCTCTCTTTCCACAGATCTTACTGGACAAATCCTGGCTTACTTGATGGTGCAGAAGTTTTTTCTGAGTAGAGAGTAAATCCCTCCTGCTCTTATCCTGGCCTGAGTGAGAGGAGAGGGTCAAAGGCGTAAGCAGTGACTTGGTCTGTCATGGCAAAGATGGGTGTGTCCTCTTTTTTGGTGCGAAGGAAGTCTTCAAATTGTCTAAAGTATGTTGAGCTGCTGCCCTTTATGCAAGGAAAACAGAACAGCCTGTAGCATGCTTTGGGAGGGTGAAAGCTGGGTGTTTGTCAGTATGAGGGGGCAATAACTAAAAGATCTCCACGTTCAAAGGGCTTTGTTTTTTTCCATTCATCACTCACCTATTGCAAGACTCCATGGTCTGAGAGTCAGCCTTAGCATTACACTTGTCAGTGGACTTTCCTCACGTACCAGAACAGGTGAAGTGGGAATGCTGCCAGCTGCTCTTTCTGGTGCTTCAGGTCACTAATACATCCCTAGAAGAGAGTTACTCCACACTGCAGTAAGTCTAGACAAGCTTTGGCCACTTGTTGTTTCCTTCTGCTGCCAATATACTTGCCAGAAAGTTAAAAGCTCTCCAGCTTCCTGAGCTAGAGTGAGAGAGAATGAATCTGTGAGGGGCTCTGAATTAGTTGATGCTCCCTCAAATACACGTCACCACCAGTTTATCCATCTTTCAGCACACACTGAAAGTTTCCCCGATAGTGCCAACTACTTTGGTAGTGCAGAACCAGCCAGTCAAACAACCAGCATGGTGTTCCTTTTTAAGCCCGCTAAATGTCTTGCAAACCACACCCAAGGAGGGGGATTTCAGAGAAGGCTTTCAGGTTGAACAACTGTAGGGACATTTGGTAGGACAAGGAGAGGGAATCTCAAGCTTATGGCCAACCCCAAGCCTTCCAGAATGACACACAAGGCAAATGCTCAGGATGAGTGATGGGGAAGCTGCTGTTTTTCTGACTTCAAAGACACATCCCCCCACCTTTCCTCATCCTATAAAATGCACAAATGAGAGAACCAACCCATCCCTGCTTTTCCTCTGCTGTCTTTTCCTACTGTTCTCAAGAGACTGAAAAGCTATTTAATACTTCTGATGGATGCCCATGGGGAGGGGACTGCAGGAAAAGGTTTAGTAAGTGGAAGTTTAAGAAGGTTATGTAGCATCTGATGTCAGTAAAAGATTGCTTGCTGATTAGTCTATGTGAAGAACAGTACCTTCTAAGTTCTCCCTCTAGCCTTTCAAATCATGGCTTCAGTAACTACTGTCTAAGTATCACCAAGATCCTGTCTTACAGCAAGGTAAAAACTTGCTGTCATGTGCTCCTGCTCTGCTGCAGGAGCTGTAGGGTATGTGTCAGAAATACTGCTATACCACCCAGGAGTTGTGCTACTAAACAGTTATAAGTGTCAATTTATGATATGTGCTTCTAATTATGTTTCATTTGTATTTGGTGGTGAGAATAAGGTCTGCATAACTATGAATATGGGTCTGTATGCCTATGATCTTGATCCATATTATCTCATAAATGGGTCATGGTTTAAGTCTTAGCTCTGTCTGGTAATACCACCTCCTGGAATGCATGCAAGCCTAGAATCTCCATTGAGTCAGATATACTTGGGGACCTAGGGCTGTTTCCTAGGACCTGGGGGCCTAGTGGGGAGCTAGGGCTGAGCCCACCCAACACTGTTTCCCCCAAGGGCATTCTGGTAAAAGGGAAATGGGTTTAGTCACATTTCAAGTAGAAATTAATGGGCTATGTTCATTCCTAGTGTAATTTTATTGAAGCCAGTGGAACTACACCAGTGTGAGCATGGCCCAGCAGCTCCTCAGAGTGATCTGCCCTTGCATCCAGACAAATTGATCTGTTGCAGTGTTGCTTTGATGCATGGGGTTCATGTTGGGACTTGGCCAACATGAACGAACGTTGACTATCTGCTGGATCTTCAAGCAGTGGGTTGAGTTGTTCTGCTCTACTGCCTCCATCACAGCTACTCCATGAAGGGGAATGTTATGCCCATGGATGTGATCTCATCAGCTCCCTCAAAAGCAAGCTAACAAGCAAATGGACCTCTACTGGCCTGGGAGAGGAGCCTTCTCCCACAAGAGCATAGCCTTTCCACACATAAAGGAAAAGAGGTTCCAAGAACAAAACTAAACCTTCAAGACCCATGGCCTCATGGACTCCCCTTCTTCCTTCCCTCCTTGTCTTGTCTGTCTTACGTGGGAGAGGGACAGTTTCTTCCTGGAGTTCAGCAAGCTCCTCTGCCTGCAACCCCTAGCCAGGCTCTACTGGCAGGTACATCATCCACCTATGCAACACTTCCAGAGACTGCTGAGATTTCAGGAGCCCACATCAATGTGCAGTGTGTCCATCCAGCACTGGGAATAAGCACAACTGCTGCTGGAAAGTTAATTGAGTTTTACTCCTCCCCTCCTTCGGATGAAGACTGTTTTTGTTGCGGCTTTTTGTTCATTTGTTTGTTTTTTGTAGCTTTCCGATATTTAGGGAAATGAAGCTTGTGAGAAATTGATGCCCATCCTGAACCATTCCCAGTCCTTCGAACTTTGGGAATGGGTGGATCACGTACTGTGATTATAATTTAGCAGACTTAGTAGAGCAAAGTAACTTCACACACGGACACACGAGGTTCTTTCACTCTCCATCAGTGCAAACTGCTTCTGCAATCCTAGCTACTCACATTAGTGAAAGAAATAGTCTGGCTAGAATCTGTTGAGATGACTTCACATTTTGTATCGGTCCCATGGTCCCAATGTCCATTAGCAGCGCTGTCAGCTGACCTGCCATGAATTCTGACTTTGGATGGCAGCCCATGAACCAGTAATGGTGAAAAGATTTGAAAAACCCAAGCCTAAGTCTATATGAGTCTCCAGAAGCAGATGCAGAGGATCAGTTGAAAGCAGACGTTCCCTCCTGCTCAGCACAGTGAGAACTGTTGAGTTTTGTTTGTTTGTGTTGAACCTGCCTTTCCAGGAATAAAAAAAAACTGGCTTGCCAGTAATGCCTGTCCCCAAGGGGTGACGTGAGGGAAAAAGAAGATAATGGTATCTGATGAAGCTATACGCACAACGCTGTTGAGCCAGTTGGGGAAAAAGTGATGACAAATAAAACCTAAAATGACAGGATTTCACTTTGAAAATGACAGTTGCTTTTTCAAACCAGTTTGGGCCTAAAAGACCTAAACAGCATTGAGGAATGTTTCGGTTTGCTGTTCCTTGCTCAAAAAGTTTCATCTCTGATGATGAAGATGTGCATTTAAATGCTGCATTTCAGCCAGCTCCTTTAGAAGTGTGCAGTGTTGGTGCAAAATAAAGGCTAAAGGAAGATTTGGATGGTAGGCCTTCGGTTTTGCAATGAGGTAGGCTGATCAGGAGCAGAGACTGGAGTTTAAAATCTTCAGCTGCAGGCTCTGAGGTCTGCCCTTGCCATCCAAACAAGTGCGTGTGTGTTGGCAGGTGTTTCTGTGTGCTCACGTGCACAGCTGGAGGATTGCAGCCATGCAGAGAGTTGTTGCGTTTGTGACTTTGGTTTGGTGAAGCCCATCTGTTCTTGTAGTGAGTGGTTTGCGAGGTGACAGAGCATTCCTCGTTGCTTGTGAAAGGAAGCTCCTGACCTGTTTTTTGTGAGAAGGTGGTGTGAAGCATCACATTTGCTGCCATGAACGGCAGAGAGCAGGGATAAAAGCATGTAGCAAGGAGTGTTTGAGAACAAGCTAATCCCCTGCTGGCTGGCTGGCTGAAATGGGAGAGTTGTTGAATCTGCTCCCTGGCCAACGCTCTCCAGCTATTCTCACCCTCCCCAAATTTGACTTGAAAATTGTCATTCCTTTGAGCTATCCAGAGCATCCCTCTCCCTGAACTGCTGAGGTCATGACAACCTCCTAGGCTGTGCGTTCATACCACTTCAGCCCCCTCTCTGCTAGGTGCTGTGGGTCAGCTATGAAATACCTATGGATGTGTAATGACCTCTGGCCGTGTTTGTGGCCAGATCTCAGGGTAACCTGCTAGTTTGACTGTACACTGCCTTCAAACGCTGCTTGCTGCATTTGCGTGCCTTGTGCTTGCCTTGAGGGGGAGTAGCGTAGCCTGTAGAGCGCTGCAGTGCATCCTGCCCTCTGGCATGTTACTTTTGCATCATTTTATGCTTTCCTGGGGAGCTTGCCAGCACTTCCTTCAGCCCTTGTAGGCAGACACTTGAGAGCTTTCCAGAGAGAAGTTCAACAGACTGGAGCCAGAAAACAGAAGCCCTTGACATTTTGCTGTTCCTTATCTCCAATTCATTGGTGCTCTCCCTGATGAAGAGGAGCAGGCAGGCTCTTGTAGCTGTGTGGGACCGGGGAACAGTGTCATGGTGAAAGCAGCATATCTGCAGGAGATTCTCTGAATGTGGGCTCTGTGCTGCTCTGCTGAGACGGAAGGAAGCTTTCCTGTGGGCTGAACAAAACTCAGCTCATGAAGGAGCTAAATTAGGAGGGCAGGACAGTGTGAACGCTCAGCAAGATCTAGGAGGGGAGGGTCTGTGTGTGAACAGCTATTGAAGGCTTTGTAGATGTGATGGTTTTTGTGGGAGACGTGAGACAAGACAGGGCAGGAGCCTGTGTGCTAGAGCACCAGCGTTTCGAGGTAGAGAAGAGACAGATGGGAAGAATGAAACAGAGGGAGCGGCGCGTTTGATGGAAAAGACCTGGAACAAAACAGGCAGTGAATACGCTCTGGCTAAGGAGACAGGCAGGAGGTATTTGCAAGCTCAGGTGCCTAGGCCAAGCCTCACTGCATCATCAGACCAACGATGTTGCCTCCCAGCTCAGCGCTGACAGCTTGAGCACGTGTCACCAGACCACAATGGATAATGCAGCCACAAGGTGTAAATGTCACTAATGAATAAATTGTCTTGTGCCTTGGAGAGGCTAATCCATCGAGGCTGGGGACAGGGATCTGACAGTGTTGGCTATTTCAGGCACAGCCTGTAGGGAGGAACTGCTTCATTTCTTAGCTGTCCCCTCTGCCTAGGGAAGCTGATGCAGGGGTTGGCTCTGTGCTGCTTCCCGTCTTCCCAGCCACAGGAGCTCAGGCTTCATCTCTCTTTACTGTGACCAAAGGAAGAATCCAGGGGAGGGTCAGGTTGGCAAAAAGTGCAGGCTGACGTGGACACCTGTCAGCAGAGCAATGCATTGGCCCAGGACAGGGCTAGCTGGTGGAGATGTTTGGAGGGAGGGTGTTGCGTGTAGAGCACCAGCATTTTCGGTGCTAATGGGGTAAAACGGTGCCAGCAGTCGGGAGAGCTGTGCCAGTCATCTCGAGTGCAGGGCTGTGGCCTGCACCTTGTGTGCATCAGGCTAGTAGTGCTTGCCATACTGATTTACAAGCAAGCAATTTACTTCCCAATTCAGTTTCAAAGTTCACCTTGCTAAGAGATGACCTGGAAATGCTCCAAACTTGCCTGAGCCCAGGCCTTCACCCTGTCAGGAAACACAGTTGGCTCTATTATGCTGTCTGGGGGGCAGCACGTAGCTCCACTGTCTTTCTTTCCTGCTGCTAATGGCCAGTCACCAGCACCTTGGCTGGTTATGTTGAAGACCAGCAGGTACCCTGGCAGGCAGGGTCAGAAGTTCAGTGTGGACAAAGCAGCCCTGATGGAGCAAAAGGAGAGTGAATGCAAGTAATGATTTCCATACACAGTCTCCGCCTGTCCCCAAGGCAGTCTGCTCCTCCATTCCCAGTTGGTGCTTGAAATCAACCTGCTGTCATGTTTACGACATGTGCCAGCACGACACCTTGCAAATCGGTGCCCCTGTCGCTGTGAGCAGAAGCTGAGAGGCCTGGGAAGCCAGCCGCTGGGTTCTTCCGCTGTGTGCGCTGCACTCAGAGCAGCGGAAGCACAGCTCGCCATCTGCTGTATTAGGGAGCCAGCCTCGCACCCTGTCAGGCTGGAGCAGAGGCACCTCCTGGCATATTCCAAGCAAAAGCCCTTGTGTCATTCCCCTGAATTCAGAAGTCTGGGAGCCTCTTTTACTTCCCAGCCACCCCTTTCTTCCCCATCACACTGGTACAGACCCATGCACACCCCGTGAGCAAGGGGATGCTCCCAGGTTGGCTGGGGTCCCCCTGCCCCTGCTGTTTCACGGGGCTGAATGCTGTTCACGGGGCACCCACATTCCTCAGTGGTGGACAGTGACAGGAGGGAAGGAAAGCTCCCAGAAAAGGAGCAGAACTTCATTCCCTCCTAGACATGGAGGCCCATAGTTGACCTCCCTCCTCAAAGCCCCCCAGCAATTCCTGGGTATGGATTTCACAGGAGAGCTAGGTGATCTGTACTCACCCTGCATCAGCACCACACTGCAGCACATGCCTTTCCAGACACATCACCCAGTAGTGACAACAGTGCAGGGTAGTCCCACACCTTTGTAACCAGGCCTCAACGTGTCAGGATTCCTACCAGTAATGGGACTGTTCATTCAGTGAATTTGTTGTTCCTGCCAGTTGTCTGGGAACAGGTTTAATTTTAACCAACTAGTGCAGTGTTTGAAACAGCTTGAACCCATCCATGCAAGCTGGCTGATAATGAGCTCTGCTGGTCTCTTGCGTGTGGGCAAGTGTCTGGCCATGCAGGTTGATTTTGGTTTTGCTGTTTGACTGGCTGAGAGATTCGTGGATGGGAAGGCAAAGGGTTCTCCAGATGGCTACCTGGCCAGGAGTTCTTGCATGTGATGGCCCAGGAATGCGTTTGGATGGTGATTAGAAGGCTTTGACGTTTTGTTAACAATGTCGGCTATTTGCAGCCGGGGGAGCTGTGAGTATCCTGGAAAGCAATTTAATAGTTTTTCCAGTGACGCATATTCACAGCCCTTTTCTTTCCAGCCCTGTTCTTCAGTGGCTCTACATGTTTGAGGGATCACATCATTGCCCTCTCAGTGCTAGCTATTACTGCACAGCTGGCTGTCCAGACACAGCCTTGCACTCAGAGCTACATGCAGGCTTTCCCAGGACAAGGCCGTCTCCTTAAACCCAAATCCCACCCTTATTGCTGGAGCTGTTCCTTCTTCAGCCGGAATCTGATCTGGGTCTTTTCTGCCATTTCTAAACACAAGCTTTCATCTCATTCAGGTGTGTCATTCAGTGGAAGTATTTTGTAAATGCAAATAAAAAGAAATAAATCTATTCAATACCTCGGTCTCGAGGATGGGGAACAAATAGTTGGAGATGCCAGAGTGGGAAGGCTTCATAGCTGCTGCCACTGGTTATATTTTCTTGCAGACTTAGCCCCTGGAGCATCCATGAATAGTTTGGAAGGGAGCTATACTGATCTGCAAGGGCTTTGGGGTGATCCATGTCGCCACCCATGGTGTGGCTACTGCTGCTAGTGATAGCCTCGCAATCTATCCTTTCTGATCTATAAGGCCTTGACATCAAGCAGGTAAAGGCCTAGTCGGCCAGGGGCCTGCAGGCAGCAGAGCCATAGATGTCTGTATCCATCAGGCAGAGCAAGGCACAAGCAGGTATATGGCTAACAAATTCTTTTGTGAGCACTGGGAACAGTTTTTACTTTTCAACTATGTCAATATGATCTAGCTCTGTCTGTCTCTCTATATATGTACAAACAGTATATCACAATGTTGCCTTTTTTGTTGGAAATATCAGAGTACAAAGATTGTAAACCAAATCGGTGTAATAAAAGTTTCAGATGATTCACTGACATGGCTCTCAGCAGTGGATCTGTGAACGCTGATGCAAGCCAGAGCTGGGAGACACTTGAAGCCCCTGCATTGCTCAAAGGGCAGGGAGTGAATGGAAGCCTAGAAGGGTCAGTCAGTTTGCTTAATTACCTGCTGACCTCTCCTGATTGGGGTGATCAAGGGACTAAGGCAATTAGGTAGGTGGGCTTTCCTGCCCTCCTCGGGTGACCATAGCCCATGGGGCAGAAGGAGAGGGTAAGTGACAGCCTGGGCTGCCTCTTACGCTCACCCCTTGTTCTTGTGATGGGAGGGATCCGTCTCCCTGCAAACCCAAGGAAGCAGCTCCATTTTCAGCAAGGCATCCAGTCTCTGCTGCTCAATCCTGAGAGATCTGTGGTCCAGCAGTCCTGCAGGATCCCAGGAGGGATCCCTCTCGTTCAAAGTTCTGCAAGGCACAGAGTGTTTTTTTGACAGGCTTGCACGGAGGAACCTTCCCGGTTAAGGTGAGCAACTGGTTTTAAAGAATTCACCTGTTTGCAAAGCAGGGCTAGCAGCGTTCAAAGGTGTAACAGCAGAAAGCAAGAAAGGATGTTGGAGAGAGCTATCTATCATTTCCTGAATGGCTTTCTTTACATTTGACCACCCATATTTGAAACTAGACAGATTTTGCTATAAAAACAGGGCTGAAACCTCAGCCGGATCAATAACGAGAAAAAGCTTCTGAGCAACTGCCAACGACATTCCACTACCCTCTATGCCTCTCACTTCTACCTCCAGCAAAAAGCCTGAAATAGCTGGCTGCCCTGAGGATTAAATCTGAACTAGACCATTTAGGGGTGCTATTCACCGTAGGTGTTTTATAGGTGGAACAACAATCAGTTGACCAAACGCATTCCCTTTCATAATCCTGCCCTGAGCTTGCTACAGGACCATGTGACAAACTACAGGAGATGAGATTTAACATCGAGCACAGTGGGAGAGAGAACTCAAGAGGCAAATTGCTTCTGTGAAGCCCCTACAGTCCCATTAGATCTAGTGCTTTTCTCATATTGAGCCACAGGCTAGGATGATGGATGCAAAGATGCAAAGAAAGGCTGTAGTAGCGGCCACAAGTTGAGTGTTTCTCAAAAATACAAATAAAGACAAACCTCCAAAGTAAGGATTGCCTTCCCAAAAGACACTAAAACACTACTGATCACACACAGAGACCGATATTAACTTAGCATTTGCTCTGTTATCAAGTGGATGCTGATTGGCAGAAAATTGAGGATGAAAAATCCCGTCCTACATCAAGGCCTTGGGCAAAGCAGGTGGTCTAGAAACACAGGAGACTGAGCAGGTGAGTGTCTTTGCTCTTGTCACCAGCCGCTGCGTTGGTGACATTTCAGAGGCTGAATACCTTCCTGCAAGCAAACCACGGCCAGTTAAATCCACCACCACCTGTGGCTGCACGATGTTTTCTGACAGACAACCTGTATTACAGTCACCAAGTGCCTCCTATGCTTCCCTCCTGCTCATCTCCGGCAGGGAGCTATGTTTGCCACAGCGCTCAGAGAGGGGAGGTATTTCATGTCAAATCTTACACAGTGGACTACCAGTACCTGAAAAGCTCATTGATTTCTGGAGATTTTTCTTCAGAGGGGTTTGACTGGTGAATACTGCAGAGATCTCAGCCGGGCTCTTTCCTGGTTGGCGCGTAGAATTTGGTTGATGAGATATTCACTCTCCTGGCCCACCTCTGCCAGGCGGAGGTCAAACTCGGTCAAAATTTTGTTATCCATGAGCCCTTCAAGCAGCTGCTTCCCACCATCCTGCAATTGGTAAGAGGAGGGATCAGAGGAGGAGGTCAAAGAATGGCATTTATTGTTCCCTTTCCCTCATCCCCAGAGCAGCTTCCTCTGCACTGCCCTGCTGTTGGTGATAGAGCTGCAGAGAAAGGAGCCCATCAGACTCTACTAAAAGTGACAAAGGTCTCCACCCAAGCCCGAAACATTGCTTACAAGAGAAGTACAGAAGAGTGTAACCTTATGCAGCTCACAGTGATATGACACATGCTTACGACTCCCTCTGGGTGTCATGTCAGCAGTCCTCAAGCTCAGGCTGGTTCATAGCACAGACGGAGATAATAACCTGAAAGGAATCGCTGCTCGAACCTGTGCCCCAGTCCTCAGCTCACTGCTGGTTGGGGCAAATGGCAGCATGATTGGTGTGCTCTACCTCATCTCTGCAGTGCCAAGAACCCCTGTGCTCATGATCTCTTCCTCGGATGCCTCTCCCTGGGAGGATCAGCTTTTGTGGGGGGATGCTCTCAAGCAACTGAAGTCCAGTCTGCACAGGAAGTTCAAGCCTTGATGGAAAATGCTACATAAATGTCAGCTTTAAGGACAGTCGGTGCATTTATTTTCCTTCCCTTACCTGAAAAATCATCTTTAGGGATATGATCATCTGACTTTTTTTTCCCACAGCTGTTCTCTTTCAGGTACCAAATACATGTGCTGACCCAATCTCCTCCATTCAGACAGTCCCCTCTCCCCAGCACCCTACCTGCTAGACCTTTGCTAAAAAGGACAGATCATGAGAAAGGAGATGAGTCTCTTTTTAAGAGAGTACAGTGGCCAGGATTTGACACATCTCTAGCAGTTTAGTGCCCAGGAATCTTAGCCCCTGAACTGTATTGCCATGTTTGGGATCACAGTGATCATAGCAGTGGCCTGTGGACATTTTTAGATGTAATTTGTAGCTGTATCGTTGATTCACTGAAAATCTCCAGTGAGGCCCTCACTTCCCCTGTGTATAAAACAAAGATGATAATACCAGCCCACTTGTTGGGGTGCTGTGGAGCTGCACAAATGGGTACCAGGAGAGCTCATCAGATGGAAGGTGCTAAGCAAAGAGATTGTTATTTTCTAAGCAAAAATCCTTCTATCCTTTCCAGCCTTTGCTCCTTGTATCATTACACTCAAACGTTTTTCTGTATCCAGGGTCATAAAAATTAGAACTCACAAAAGGTTTTCTGCCATCAAATCCTTTTAAAACCTTGGTCAAATACATTGAGCCAATATTCCTGCCAGCAGGGTCAGCTGGTCTTGCTATCTCTTTATTGTGACAGTGAGAAAATTGAGGCAGCACAGAAAGTTTAAAAGCCAACATAATTGTATTTGGCTGTCTAGTTTCAGATTTCTAAAGCTCTTTTTAATTAGCTGAAGAAAATGGTCTGGTTTGCGGAAATGTTGCATACTGCAGCTCTTAGGGATGTAGTAGGGTCTGTGGATGCTCTTCCATCTGGAAAATGTGAGCCCGTGGTTTAGGAGCCGCATAGAAGCATTCGGATGTGACAGTTTTGACTACTATCATCCAGATGTGATGCTTTTGAACTACCACATCAGGCCAGAGCTGTAGGGTGTGTTACAGCAGCTCAGTAACTAATACAGTTTTCTAATAATCTGCTCTGAGTGTTCGATGGCCAGGAGAATTTCTGGGAAGGGTGAAACTACCTATGTGCTACGGAGTGACAGATGGCACAGCAGATCCAAAATACGGAGGATATGAATAAGACCCTAATATCATGCCACTATCACTATTTTCTACTCCCCTGTGTGTAAGGTCGTTGAGATTTTCCCAACTATGTCCCCAGATTTCAGTTTCCCATGGGGAAATTTGTCTGCCCAGAAGCTCAAAGCCTGGAAGCCAGGTTCCACCTGAGAGCTCTGTGAAAAGATCTAGATGTAATAGGTGAGATAAATGTTTGTGTGCACACAGAAAAAGTCGTCTTCTCTTTCCTGCCATCTGCTATAGTCTCTTCATTACTTGCAACTGTTGTTATCACAGCAAGATGGCAAAGTGAGGGATGCATTTGGCTCTGTGACTTTGGGATGGAGCAGGCTCGGTGTCTGCTTTGCAACACAATCATTCAGACACATAAGCAGCAGAGTGAAAGGGTTTCTCTTACCAGCCCTATGTGGTTGCATGAGAAATTGATACTAGTCAGTGTGCTGTTCTGGGCAAGGACTTGGGAGAAAAGCATAGCAGTTGGCTCTGACAGCTTGTTACTTCCCAGATGGATAGCCTTCAGAGTGGTGTTGGTCAGCAGGGCATGGCCAATTGCCTGCCCGCCTTCGTCCTCCACGCAGTTGAGGCGTAGATTCAGGGAGGTCAGGGTGGAGTTATTAGCCAGGGCTTGAGCAAGAGTCTGAGCCCCCATGTGACGGATCTGGTTGTTACACAGATCAAGGATTTCTAATTTGCTGCGATTGATCAATTTGCCAACAGCACGCGCCCCCTTGTCCCCGATGAGATTGTGGGACAAGTTCAGCTCCATCAAACAGGGGTGATCCAGCAAGTTCTGGATCAGCAGCCTGGCCTTGTCATCATCTACTTTGCTGCGTGTCAGCTTGAAAATCTGTGGGAATAAAAGACAGGGGCATTAAAATGACCAGTGCTTTGGACTGAGCTTTTCAGAAGACCTCAAGTGAGTTAAGCCCATGGCAGCTGCTCACCAGAGGCAGGATTCATCTCACTTTGCTTCAGACACCTTGTCTTGTAGGCTAAATAAAATAGCTGCTTTTATAGTGGATAGAGCAGGCACTTCCAGAAGATAGGGTCATGCCACTGACATCCCATGCCTATTCTAGGGTGAAATGGTTCATCTTCTGGAAATTCCTGCCCCTGTCTTCCGATACCATAGGATCTTGGACACAGAGAGCTAAATTAAATGAGATAAAGCTGACCAAACTTCTGCAGAGAGCAACAGTAGAACTCACCCCAATAGCAGAATTCGCCCCATATCACAATCAAATACTCGCTGTCCGAACTAGCATGGACCACCTTCATGTGCACTGGCAATAACCTGCAGTGCTCTTTGTTAAGGGCAGTGCCCTACATGGCCAGGGCACCGCAATAGTTCCATGAGAAGTGATTTCTGTTCTGGAAGCCAATTAGAAGGATGTTTCCCAAAGCATGCCAATATGTGAGGGAAGCGTGCAGCCAGCTTTCTCTGGGTGCTCTCTAGACAGCAACGTCCATGGACATTCTGTACTGTAATGGTCATAGAACTTAAGATTATGTTAGTGTCTAGAAAAAATAAGCCTCACCACTCTAGGGAAAATGTGAATATTTCCCCCATGCTCTTCTTGGGGGGGTCTCAGCTGCTCTGGGGCATTCTGATAGGTATTTACTGAGCATAAACCACCAAAAACTGTCCTTACGAAAAACCATCTCTGGGCTTCTCCTCTCCTTCCTCCCAGAA